GCTAGACACGAATCAGTTATAGCAGATGCTTTGCAACCTCTGTATATGAAGTAATGCAAAAACATTCACAACACTATATTCTACATTCCCTGCGTCAATGTGGCACTAGATCAATGTTAAAACAGATTTCAAATAATACTTGTATTGTATTGTTGATTCCCCTGATTATTTTTAGTGCAATAAATGCTTTTTAGAACTTATAATTTGCATACTATTATAAAAATGTTATCATTTGGATTTTTTATTTCATTTTCTTTTTTTATATTTATTTGAATAACTTGTTTTACTGAACAGTGCAGCACTTTTTAATGTGCTATATACTTTAAATAAATTATGTTTGACTAAATCAGCTTTTTAACTAATAATTTTTTATATACTCTATAATATGGACACTGTAACCAGCAACGGCGAATAATAATACGGTCTGTCTCTGCCTCTGTAGACTGTGTCCACCATAATCCATTCACTCTAACTACAGTACATAGCTCTCCTGGATATTCCTTAAAAATGTCCATATAAAGGCAATGACAAAAGCGGAGTTCATAAGAGGTGGTGAAGCAAACCCCATGATTTCTTTCTCCTGTTGTTTCCAGCCATAGCCTGTTTCCATGGTAACTCAGCCAGAAACAGAGCTGTGGAGAAGGGCACACCCCCTCCCCACCTCCCCCTGGCAACCTGTACACGAGTATGCGCATGCAAGCGTAAGTGTGCGGCGTCCATTGTGTTTCCAGCCATGACGAAAACCATTATTCGTGAACATTTACGTGTAAACATTGGCGATCGGTGCACTTCAGAACATAAGGTTCATACTTGTGTCTCAAAATAGCGGTAATGTTACCGTCAGTCACTATCATGTTAGCATATCATCACTGACCCCGCCCAGGTCTGACCCCAGTTCCTCTGTGCAGCTCCAGAGAACTCTGGGTGGAGTCCATGTTGCTATGTGCCTGACTGCTTGCGGTGCCACCCATCTTCAATATCCGCTCCACCCCATTATGCAAAGCTTGTTTTTCCTCTCTTTCCTCCCCTGAACCTGAGCGAGACACCCAGTATTTAAATCCTTCTTCTAGCAGGATGCATAGAGTGCAAGAAGCAAGTGTCCATCTCATAGTCCAAATCACTGAAATCAAAGTTCAGTATTATAGTGTATGAATGACAATATGTCCACGTGTTCTGGTCTACTAATAATAAAATATTATAATGAATAATTCATTTTTGTGGTAATAAAAATAGAAGTAGGCTAAGTGAACAACAGCCTTTAAATTTACTTAAAATACATATATAATAGCAATGAGGCAAAAATAATTCGTTCAAATAAAGTATCAAAAGCAAGAAATCATATGGTTTTATTGAACAAAACTGTTAAAATACTGTATTATAATGTAATAGAGCCACTGATCTATATATAATTATAAAATAATATAATATACTCTCTATTATAGATCAGTGAATAGAGCTAATGTACAGTATGCATTACAACAAAGGCCTGCAGGGTAGCAAAGATCAACTTGAACCTTCAGATTGCATCAAGCCTCTCTTTCAGACAGACGAGACGTGCAAGTATTCAAACTTAGGTTTATTAATTGATACATTAAGTATCATAACCTTTTTTACAAAGGTGCGTTTTAACTAAGAATCTGATGTTTCCTTCAGGCTCTAAATCTGCTGAATATCAGATGGTTCCATAACTTCATATTTTTATTTCTCTGCTCTTTACTGCTGAAGCTTTAACCCTTTCCTATACCAACTGTATGCGTGTGTGTGTGTGTGCGTGTTTATGTGTATGTTGGACTAGTTTAAGTGTTTATGTAGTTAATAAAGTCATTTATTTGTATCACACTTGACGTTGTTCATTGTTTACTCATAACTGGCGTCCCTAATCATGCAGATTTATGCTGCAGGCTCTGTGTAGAGTTGTACAGTAAGAAGGTTATTTCCCTTAACCAGGAAATTAACGTTCTTAGAATTGACAGACAGTTGACCCTGAGAGGTCAAGTAAATATCTACAGCGGATCTAAATATTTATAATTAATTATAACTAGTTATGATTAATTATTCATATTTCCCCATGAGCTGATTCGCTACATCAGACTTATCCATATGTCTGCTCTTCTCTTACTCCCAGATATCGACATTTTTGTACGTTTTATGAGACGTGCAGCAAGTGTACGTTAGCTTGCTATGTCCCGCCGGTTCATATGTATGCATCTAACCTCGTAACCATGCAGCAGATTCGTTCTGAATGAATCTCTTCCCAAATCGTCCCTCTCTAACATTTTCGTCTCGTTTTTATTCGTTGACGAAAATGTCAATGGATTTTCATCATAGTTTCTGTCATTCAAAACGAGTTTTAGTTCGTCATAGTCTCGTTTTCGTCTGTGAAAATTTTTTTACAATTGTCACTGAAAATTAACACTGTTTGACAGCAACACCCAGAGCATCGTGGCTTAGTGCCAGAGTATTAAAACTCGCCCTACAGGAAACCAACCCTAAACAGCAGTCCCAGAGTGCCGTCGGTGAGGTCTCGAGAGTTTGGGAAGGCACCGTGCAAGATGTGTGCTTCTGATTAGGGCATGTGGCGAGGGGCCGAGACCTGTCTGCATGACCTTGGACTCGAGACAACTACGCAGATCCTATGTTTGCAGAAAGCACTTTCATCTCAGTAAACACTATTCTGTTTGTTAGAAAAGCAACAGTGTCTTAAGATAATCCACAATTGTGGGCTTTAGGGTGGGAAGTTTAAGTTTTTTTCAGTATAAACATATAACACTCATAATGTATGGGCTCTTTTAGCCCTTTGGAAAAGAACAAACTTTTCACACTCTCACTAGTTAATTTAATTTGTCTACTAACAATGTCCAACAGTAGATGTACATGCATTCCAGAAGAATGGGTTAGGGTCCTTTTTTTTCTGAAAGTCATGAATATTTCCACCACACCGCCAATGATGTATTGTGTTTAATAGAGTTATGTGGTGGAAATGGCATTTAAAAAAAATTTTGGAATAAAAAGACATTTAATCTTGTTATTTTCAGAGCTAACACATTATGTATCCTAATGCACACAAGTGAATTGAAATTACCGTATGAAATGATGGTATTTAACATTTTTTTCCTTTGTTTTCTTTACAAATCACATGCTTTTTATTTCATCTTAAGCTGTTCACTGACACTTTTGTATTCTTATGTAATAACTTTATATAATGTTTTCACATCTAAGTGCTCTTGAAAGGAATTTAGACCTTTCATGTCCAATAAATGAACAAAGTGAAATATAACGTTTCCCTTTTTTTGCTGTTTTTATTGTTCCTTTCATCTCATTTTGGTCCACTTGTGTAATACTATTAGTATCCATTTACGCTATATACTGCTATGTGAGATGAAACAAAACAAGTGTGACAATACCTCACATGCTTGGGTGTGTTCGAAAAGAGCAGTCAAGTGCTACAAATATCTGAATATATAAATATAGCAATGGCATACACCTTGCCAGATTTTCAAATGACTTCAAAATCTAAATTAAATGTTCAACGATCATACATGTTCAAAAAATCTGACATGTCTTACAGGTTGACTGCCACATTGGCTGGTACATAAATCAGAATTACCCAGCACTGCACAAACGCTGGTGGCAGGAGTTAATTTCCCACTTTGCTTACTTGACTTGAAATTAAGCTTTTACTTTATATGTCCACCACTTCAAAAGCAGACAGTATGCCTGTCGCACAGCACATACTCCCTAACAGCAGGAAGTACACAGGCAGCTGAGGACAATCAACCCCATATCTGCATATCATTATGAGTTTGGTGCTTTTCTGTGAAGAAAGGACAGAGAGATGCAGTTGTCTGAAGCTAGTCTTTTCCTAAAACAAATGTGAAGGAAACAGATGCTTTTAATCAGCTTTCATTTTTCCCCGTTCCAGTTGATTTATTTTCCCCTGTGATCACAATTTCATAAGATTTCAACATTCCCCTTGGGCCAGGCTGATGTTAAGTGCTTCACCCAGGGGCACCCTGGTGATCAAGTAAGTAATTCTCAAACTGTTAAGTTATTCCCACTTGCAAACCTCCAACCATTTTAATTCTGCAAAAATATAATTTTCTTACTGAGTATTTTTTGTCTTGTTTTTCAGTACAAATATCTAAACATTCTTAAATAAAGATGTATTTACTTTAAAAGCAAAATGACTTAAGGTAATTAAGTCTTCTTTTCTGAAAATGTATTAATTAATGAGTTTTTGCATAAAACCAGTAAAAAATATCTGCCGATGAGGTAAGAAAACGAATCTTGTTTTCCCTTTGAATTAAGTTGGTCGGCGTTACAGAGTACCGAATACCAGGACAGCCAGGCACAAGAACAGTTTCTTTCCCCAGGCAATCTACCTCATGAACAGTTAATGTTCTCCCATTGTGCAATTAAAGTACAGTATGTGCAATAACCTTATACTTATTTATCACCCTAAACCCTAGTACATCCCTACAACTTATTTTATTTTATTCTATTCCTATTCCATCTATAGCACACCTGTACATACAATTTATTCTTTTTTTTTGTGGTTTATATTTATGCATGTGTATTTTATTCACATCTCATTTTTATTATCTGTGTGTTGTTGTTGTCTCCGTGTACTGGAAGCTTGTGACACTATAACAAATTCCTTGTATGTGCAAACATACTTGGCAATAAAGCTCTTTCTGATTCTGATTCTGATTCTGAATTAAGTTTATTTTTCTCACTCCTTTGGCAGGTATTTTTTCTAGTTTAAATCTTTTTTTTTTTTTTTTGACTTAATGTCAAATGTTGATCTTTGACTTAATGCATTTTGCTTCTCAAGTAAATGTATCTTGTGTTGCAAATTTTTAGACATTTGTACTGGAAAACAAGACAAAACACTGAGTAAGAAAAAATGCAGTGTATCAGGGAATCAACCCACTATAACTACAGTAAAATTTTAAATTAATCAGTGACAATTATTAAACAATCCAGAAAGTGGTCCTCACCTTTGCCCTGGCACTTGGCCTCGTCCAGGAGAGGTAACATGATGGTGGAGTTGAAGGTTGACGGGGAGCGAACGGCTGTGGTGTACATGAGGGGCAGCGACTGCACCACCACAGGGATACGGTGCACATGGCTGGGAAGTTTACTGGGGCTGGAAGGGGGGACGGGGTGGATGATGTGCAAAAATTGCTGGCCTCTAACTCCATGAGGAGAGCCCACCAAGGGTCCGGGTGTCAAAACGGAGGGCATTCCAGAGGAGACTGAGGTGATGACAGAAGGTGAGGATGACGATGATGAAGATGGAGAGAAGGCTGAGGTGTAGGAGGAAGGAGATGACGTCCTTGTCTTGTTGATGGACAGGTCTACAGGCTCTGTCTGGGTTTGGAACTGCTCGGATGAGAGCAGGTCTTCTGGAGGTTCCGCCTTCACTTTGCTGAGCAGGAGCGGCACAGTCTCCATATCAGGATAGCCGTGCACTTTGGGTGACTGTAAAGAACAAAGAAATAAATTAATGTGGTTTTATTTTTGTTTTTTTGGTAGTTACATTTCTGAGTTTCTGAAAATAAATGAATGAAGACGGTTATAATTATTAAAATTTAATAAAGTTTTATTAAATTAATGTACATATATATATAAATATATATACTGTA